CTTGATTGTTTTCTTGGGATTTTGTCTCTTTGATAAGTGTACTTGCAATTTTGGTTGCATGATTTTGGCGACGGGCCGTTGTCGAAATTTCTGTGTTAGATTTATTATAATTAGAAATACTATCAATAATCTTTTGAATTTGTTCATTAGTCAAGTCAGAAATAGAATTTGTACTATATGCTTTAAGGTATTTAATTTTATCTATACCTATTTTTTCGAATAATTTATAAGTCTTTATGGCTCTTTGAGTCTTTTTACATAAGGTTTTACGTGAAATTTCTGGGAGTTGTATTCCCATTTCCTTGGACTTTTTTTCATGGATAATAATGAGATGCTCTAATATTTTATCATAAATTATACCTTTAGCTTTTTTCTTGCCCATTTTTTCATTACTATTTTTTATAAAATCATTGTATTGAATTACAAATTCTTTCCCGTAACTAATCCAGCATAAGGTTTCTTTCTGGTTAGCTTTCATAGCATAATGTTCAGCATTAGTTGCTTTATCAAATAATTGTGTCAAGTCAAGTAATGGAGTTATAGAACAAATTTGATATGCAATTTCAGTCACATTATTTGAAGAAGCCAAACTTCGAACCTCTGACTCATCTAAAAGGATATTATCCCGAATACCATTAGCTATTACTTGAACGATATCCTCTGTTCCTTTTTTCTTGTGTGATTTATCCAGGTTTTTATCTTGATTTTGATTCAAAAGCTTTTTCACAGTTTTCGAGTCCAAAGATTCTGACATGTCAATATTAGAAACTGGAGATGTTGGCATAGTTGATACTTCGGATAGTATCGATGGAATTGAGTTATTAAGTGATCTTTGAAGTTTCTTTTTCCTGTTCCTCTTTATCATCATATCACTAACTTCTTTTTTATTTTGCATATCTAAGAAATTATTTATCTTCTTATCTTCTAATAACTTAGGCTCTGTGTGGATAGGCGATGCAGAGCATCAGGTTAAAGGCTCCTGACATACGTCAGAATTTGATGCATTATCAGATATATCAGACGCTGGAGCATCCTCACTTTGTAAGACTATCTGTTCAAGAATACTGCTAGAATTTATTGGAGACTGTGACATACTAGTAAAATTTTTTCCTTTATCTTTCTGTTCTAGATTCGTGATTCTGATTTCATGTTCTTCTAAAGCTTGCTTTAACTTCATATTATTAGCTTTAATCTCTATATTTTCGGCCTTAACTTTCACATTCTCAGCTTTAAGTTTGATATTCTCAGCTTCAACCTCAGCAAACTTCTTTCTAAGTTTATCAATTTCAGATACAAGCCTAGAATTTAATTCTTTCAATGAATCAATTGTGGATTGTGCACTTGTCATTGTTTTATTTAAGATATGAATATATTTTAAAAGTTTATTTTCTTTTCTTTCACAAGATCGAGATCAGTATATAGTTATGTTATCTATCTAATAATTTTTCATCTTTAATGTGTCTATTTACCTAATATGAACGCAGGAATTATTGGGAGTTAGCAATTTTTCGAACTATAACTTTATCGATATAACCAAATGAAATCTCCGCATCGCCACCATGAAAAATCTTTTCCCAGAAAATATCAATATCAATATACTGAAATAAATTTCAAGCTCAGAAATTCGCTGTCCCAATAACAGATAAATCAATCTCAAATTGCATATTTTAGTAAGAAACCATACGTATTTTATTATTTATTTAAAATGCGAGATAAAAGTGGCAAAAATTTAAAAGAAAGAATTATATAATTATACGTATTGTTTCTCCAATCTGGGTTATTGAATAAATTGTATAGCATAAGAGCAATCGAATTTTAAAATACATTAATGCTAATAACATATCATGAATTATGAACGGAATGATTAGTTGGAACCCTTATTGGTGTGTGAAAAGATGGTCTGCTATTCTATTGCGTATGGGTGTGGCAGATATAGTGGATGTAATACTTGGATCTTTATTGCATTGAAATACACTTTGAAAGCAAAGCTCAGCGGAACGGGAAATGATGCTCTTTTGTATAAAGACAAAAAAATTAATATACAATTATAATGTCTGGCAGACATAATATTCTATACTGACCTTTGTTTGCATTAGTTCTTCTATTGCGATAGAAAGTACATTAAGGTTATAAATATTTTGTGGAAGGAAAAACTTTCCCAGAAGTATCATTCAGTATATCGCATCAAACTTCAGGTCCATAGCAAACACACTGCACTGAAAACCTGATTATAAAAAGGAAAGGTAAATAAGGATATACATGCTAAAAACTATTAATATATATTTACCTTCAACAAGTATGCCACAAATAGTCAAATCAATGTTGTTTACACCATCTTTAATGCACTTATCAAGCATATCCTTCATTTCATTTCCGATTTTTACTAAATCGCAATCCAAAAAATTAATTTTCTTTGAAGACATATACCTGGGGGATTTTATTTCAGATACCAACAGGTAGTATTTGTTGCTTTTAATTTGAGTGTAAGCAGAGAAATCTGCTTTTCTTCCCTGAAGCACGGGGTCAAATTTACGTTTTCTGTGGGTCAACGGATCCAAGACATCTGAGGACCTATAAACAATTCATTTATATATTTAATTATTATTTTAATGCATGTAAGAATCTATTATTTTATATACAAACCATTCACACTTTAGATTGCTATTTAAAAAAAAGGTGAAATTATTGGTGCAAAGACCTTGTGGACAAAAGAATCTTCTCGTGCGTCTGCTCTGTTGGTGTTATGTGGAAAATACCTGAAGCTACAAGATGATTAAAAACAAAATTATCTCAATTTTCGGTAATATAATATATATGGACTTTGTAAACTTACACTGATTCAAAAACTTCTAAAACTAAATCATCATTATTCTCTTCGACTTCTTTCTGCTATTTCCTAAGTAATGACTTGCAACCTTGGAAGTTTTTATTTGCGATCTGTTAAATTAATATAACATTAATCAAAAAGAATTAACACATTAAAATCATTCACGAAAATCTTATCTTGGATATCTCATGACATCGTATAACATCTTTATCTGACAAATGATATGGAGTATATTCGCTTCTTATATTTTCAAAAATTGCTTTCAATGATGCGGGACCAATCATTTCTGGGATCCCAGTTGATAAATTCTCATCCAGTAGAAATATACAATTAAGAGAACTATAATAATTA